CTGTGGGTTAATGCACCAAACTGCAAAGCCGTTTGAACTGCAAGGTCAGCGGTTCAAGCTCACCAGCTGCTCCTCAGAAACCCTATACAGGGTCGCTATGGGTTGGAATCGACTCAACAGCACTTGACAACAACAACTAAATCAAGATGATGGAAAAATTAAGTTTTAGAAAAGTTAAAAAAATAAACAAATAAATGGAGGGAGGGATAAGAAAAAAAAATCACATAAATGGCAACTGAAGACCCAAGGGCTTATTCTGCTATAAAACAGAATGAGCCTAGAATGATCATTTTTCATCTTAAGGATGATTGAGGTGGTTACTTCAACTGCCTCAGTTGAGGTACTTTTACTAAAAACTTGATTCTGATCATCAAAACAAAAAAATTGGTTGATAAATCAGACACACAAGGAACATGAGGCAAAAATCATTAGACTGTATTAAGAGTTCACAATAACAAGAAAGATGAACACTAAACAATGTCTGACATATATTATAAATGCTCAAAAGTCAAGTTCCAGACAAAATTGAATGATCCCAGGGCTAGATAGTTCAAAGATTATTGTAGTCCAAGTTCTCAAAAATGATATACAATTATATAATCATGATTCCAATTAGAAAAAAAAAAAAAAAAAACAGGGAACGGTATCCATATGCTTAGCTTCTCATTTAGGAAACATAATGAAATCCCTTTAATAGGAAAGCAAGTGTTTTAATAGCTGTGCTAAATGTCAAGGGACTACGTGATACTGAATGTTTGATAAGGGTACCCGACATCTCGCCACTGTTTCTAATGACCAAAGAGAGGCTCAATAATCGACAGTAAATGACTGGGCATCCCCTATAGAGTAATGCAGACTGCTAAGAGACATCCCTCAACCTATTCCAGGACACTTTTCCCACTCAGGCAAGGTCAGCACAGACTTTCAAGTACATCCTTAACTTAGGAGAAAACTGAGCACGTCGTGTCTATGAAGTTACGTTGCCTATAGGGGCCGTGTATAGAGTACGAAGCCAAAGCACAGGGACAGCTCTGGTCTTTAAAGTTGAGCTGGAACTAGTCACAGAAGCACACATGCTTACAAACACAAACACACACACACAAATGACTGTGGAAGCACAGCTTTACAGAACAGAAGCACAGGACATCCCTACCTAGACTTACTGGTACCCCTTAATATAAATCCCACAAAAAAAGTTCTTATTTGTAAGTCACAAAAATCTCTTTAGGATATTAATACAAAGTGTTAAATACTGAAGAGAAACAAATTCAACAAACAAATATTCATGAAGAAATAACTTGGAAGCTCACCTTTCTACAACCAAACTGACAGCTTGTGTGAGATCTGGGTTTGCCACCTGGAGACGTTTCCACAAAGACCAAACAAATTCTTTATCGGCCTTAAAGGAATAGAAGACATCATAAATACATTGTGTTCTAGTTTTATTAGACAACATAGAATCCTACATTAATTAAGTAAATGCAAACATAGAAATGCTTGAGCCCTCATATTTTAATTATTGTTATAAAAAAGATGCTTGAAAAGTATAACAGAGACATTTTATTTTGAAGTCCTTAGACCAGTAATCTATACTCACGTATACTATTTCTAACATCCATGCTTTGAAATGCAAATATCTAAAATATTAAATGCTAAATACCAAGGTAAATGTACTGTACATAGAGATTGTCTTCAATCCACAGCCCCTCTTTTCAGAAAAAAAAATTCTTGAAAATGGCACATTCAATCTGTGCTTCCTCAACTCCCACTTGCTTTGCAATAATATGCTAAGGTCATTTGTGAAGGTCCCCCATATTGCCACATTAAACAGACATGGACCTAGTCCTTATACCTTAGCTCATTTGTCATCAACACTGACTAACTGTTAAGAATAACTTTGGGGGAACTTTTAAAAAGTACTGAAGCTCTAGATCTCATTGATCTCATCAAAGGCCTAAGCATCAATACTTTTTTAAAGCACCCAGGTAATTCTGTGCATTCTGGGTTGACAACCATTGTCCCAATTGATAGCATCCATTTGCATGGTTTTATATATATATACAGCTCTGGTAGCGTAGTGGTTACGAGTCGGGCTGCCAACCTTAAGGTCAGCAGTTCAAAACTACCAGCGGTTCCACAGGAGAAAGATGAGGCTTTCTGCTCCCATAAAGATTTACAGCCTCAGAAACCCGGTGCAGGGTCACTATGAGTCGGAACCAACTCCACGGTACTTACCAACAACAAATAGTCATATAGTAACTGTACACTGATAATTCCATATTTGTATCTCCACAAATATAATCCAGTCTACCACACAATGGAATGTGGATGCCTACTGATGGGGTTGTTAGGTACCATTGAGTCGGTTCCTACTGATAGCATTTTTCTGGGATTCTTTACTTTCAACCAAGATCCATCTGACAGCAATGATATCCCTCATTCCATGTTCTCTTCTGAATCTGGATTGAATTTCTGGCTGTTGTCTGTTGACATACACTGCAACTGTTTTGTAATTATCTTCAGCAAAATTTTACCTGTGTGTAATGTTGTTAGGTACTGTCAAGCTGGTTCCGACTCATAGCAACCTTATGCACAACAGAACAAAACATTATTTGGTCCTATTCCAATGTCATAACCACTGCTATGCTTGAGCCCATTGCTGGTGCCACTGTGACAACCCATCTTGTTGGGGTCTTCCTATTTTTTGCTGACCCTCCACTTTACCAAGCATACCCTCCTGATAATGTGTCAGAAGTAGGAGAGACAAAGTCTGTCCATGTTGGCTTCTAAGGAGTATTCTGGTTGTACTTCTCCCAACACAGATTTGTTTGTTTTTCTGGCAGTCCCTGGTACTTTTAATATTCTAGTACAGCACCAATATGCAAATGTATCAATACAATGTTATTCATTGTCCAACTTTCACATTCATATGAGACTACTGAAAATACCATGGCTTGGGTCAAGTGTACCTTAATCCTCAAAGTGACATCTTTGCTTTTGGACACTTTAAAGAGGTCTTGTGCAGATCTGCCTGATGTAATACGTCATTTGATTTCTTGACTGCTGCTTCCATGAGTGTTGATAGTTGATCCAAGAAAAATGAAGTCTTTGACAACTTCAATCTTTTCTGTTTCTCAAGATGATATTATTGGTCCAGTGGTGAGGATTTTTGTTTTCTTTACATTGCTCATTTTGTATATGCCCACTATCAGCAAATGAAGGTCCCAAATGCTTTACTCTGTTCGCATCACCACTGTCAACTCTACATTGAGGGGCAGCTCTTCCCCAGTCATATTTTGAGCACCTTCCAACCTGAATGACTCACCTTCTGGCACTGTATCTGACAACAGTCTGTTGCTATTCATCAGGTTTCAATAGTCAGTATTTTTCTCGTGCTATTTGACAGTGTCTCATTGCTATTCATAAGGTTTTCCATGGGTAAATATTTGAAAGTACACTGCCTCTCCTTCTTCCTAGTTGGTCTTAGTCTGGAAGCTCAGCTGAAACCTGTCCACACTGGCTGACCTACTGGCACTTAAAATACCATTGCCATAGCTTCTAGCATCACAGCAACACACAAGCCACCACAGTACAACAAACTGATAGATGTGTGGTGGCCTATGTATGAGATTGTTCAATAATTTCTACAATATGTTAGGTCACCTTTCTTTGGAATGGGCACAAATATTGATCTCTTCTAGTCTGTTGGCCTGGCAGCTGCCTTAAAAATTTCTTGGAATAGGCTAGCGAGTACATCTAGCACTGCATCAATTTGTTGAAACATTTCAATTGGTATTCTGTCAATTCCTGGAGTCTTGTTTCTTGTCAATGTCTTCAGTGTAGTTTAGACTTTTTGCTTCAATACCACTGGTTCTTGATCATATGCTATGTCCTGTACTGGTTGATGACCACCAATTTTCTTCAGTACAGTGACTGTGTGTACTCCATCCATCTTCTTGTGATGCTTCCTGTATCATTCAATATCTTGTCCATGTTGTTATTGTGAAGTGTCGTCAAGTCGGTTCCGACCCATAGGGACTCTGTATATGGTTTCCCAGGAGTGACTGATGAGCTTGAACCGCTGACCTTACAGTTCAAACTGACTGTGCAGTCTAGCACATTAACCCACAACACCACACCAGGACTCCATTTTGTCCATGGAATTTTTCAATATCACTAACTGATGCTTGAATTTTTTCTTCAGTTCTTTCAGTTTACAAAATGCCAACCATGTTCTTCCCATTTGATGTTCTAACTCCAGGTATTTGCACAATTCATTATAATATTTTACTTGGTCTTCTTGAGCCTCCCTTTGAAATCTTCTGCTCAGCTCTTTTACTTCATCATGTCTTCCATTTGCTTTGGATAATTTACATTCAGGAGCAAGATTCTTGCATCTCTTGTCTCTTCTGACATCTGTTGTGGTCTTTTCTTTCTTTCCTGTCTTTTTAGTGACCTTTCTTCATGTATGCTGTCCTTGATATCAGCTCATTAGTTCATTTACTCATCAGTCCTTAGTGTTCAATGCATCCATTCTTGAGATGGTCTCTAAATTCAGGTGCAATATACTCAAGGTCATACCTAGTAGAAATCTCACTTTTAACTTATCTAAAATAAAATTCTTCATTTCCTACCCTCCCACAAACTTGCTTCTCTGTTTCACAGAAAATTATACCACCACCTAGTCTGTTCACAAAAAGACCTAAAATTTTAGTTGTTGCCTTTTCCTCAAAATTCAGAGCCACATCATTAGTAACTCCTATTGGTCTTATCTACAATAGTCTCTCCAATCCTTACCACTTCTTCTCACAAAGATTATCATGGTCTAAGCCACCTCTGGTAGCACAGTGGTTACCTATCAGGCTGCTAATCTCACGGTCAGAAGTTCGAAACTACCAGCTGTTCCACAGGAGAAAGATGAGGCTTTCTGCTCCTGTAAAGATTTACAGCCTCAGAAACCCTGTTACAGGGTCGCTATGAGTCAGAACCAACTCCACGGCACATAACAACAACAAAGCCACCTCCAGCTTTTGCATGGCCTTCTTCAAAGATCCTCTAGCGTCTCTACAGTTCAAAACCTTCCAAGAGGTTCCGATCAGACTAGGAGAAGAATATAAACTATTTACAAAGACAACAGATAAATCTCAGAGTCTGCCCTTTGTATACTTCTTCACCCTCATCTATCACTCTCTCCCTTGTTCACACAGACCTTCTTGCTCTACTTACATCCACCAGATGCTTCTGGAGTTCATTCCCTGACTTCATTCAGGTTTTGAATAAATAACACTTCCTCAGATGAGACTTCCCTGACTATTGCATTTACCGGTTCAACTTTTTTCATGGTACATTTGTTTTCCTAAAATTGTGTTTATGTCTTTGGTTGGTTGCTTGCTTATCTTATGTGGCAAGCAGATAACATTACTTGTATCTGTCTCAACCATCTATTCTATTCTCCTTTTTAGTAATATAAATCACTTTGATTCTTTGCTGCTCAACTAAATAAACTGTATTTCCAAGCCACACTTCCCTTATGGAGTCTTGGTGTGGTGCTGTAGGATAAGCACCGGAATGCTAACCACAAGGTCGGCAGTGCAAACCTACCAACTGCTCCTCGGACATCTATACAGGCTCACTCTGAGTTGGAGCCGACTCAATGGCATTTAACAACTTGCCTTATTGGCTATGTGACTAAGTTCTGCAAATAAAATACAGGAAGTGTTATCTGAGATGTCTAGGAATCATAAAATTAGATGTGTACCTACCAAAATGTCATAAGTATGTTTCCCAGACTGTCACTGATGATTTAATTTTACATGAGAGATTTTTTGTCTTGGAAAGTGTAATTATAAACTTTACATACTCAAATGTATACTGCTCCTGATCTTATGTGACAGTTGCAAAGGCCACCTCTACTCTAAGGTTAGAAATCTATTTATCTATCTGCTCTCTGGAACTTAAAAGTTTTTTATTACTCAATCTTTGATGATTTTTTTTTTTTAAAGAAGACTTTTGACAGCCTAAATCCTGGAAAGCACTACTTTGCCTAACCTTCTATATCCTGTACTACTTTATCCCACTAGAAGCAAAAATTCAGCATCTGGACTTTAAAATGTTTTAAGGCCAAAAAGTGTCAATATATAAATCCAATGTCAAAACCTGCTCAAAAAGCAGTGAGGGTCAGGAAAATAAAAGCATTATGTTCTCTGGTGGCAGCTGTGTGCCACCAAGTCATTTCTGACTCATAGTAACTCTTGTGTGGCACTGGATCGGAACTGGACTACAAACCACAAAGTTGGCAGTTCAAACCTACCAGCTGCTCCTCAGAACCTACTCAACAGCACTTAACAAAAACATAGGGTTTCAGAGGTAGTACATTTTTAATGGAGCAAACAGCCTCATCTTTCTCCCTGGAGGTGAGTGGTAGATTTGAACTGCTAACCTTATAGTTAGCAGGCCAGCTCCTAATCCATTATATTACCAGGGCTCCTCTTATGTGCTCTGTTTTGAAAAGATATGCTGATGAAATTACAAAAATTCCTTTAAATCAGTGTTATCTAACACTAATTTTTCTACCAAAATTCTAAGCAAGAAAGGTTACTACAATTAAAATGTTTAAAAAGAGATTTTCTTTATTCAAGAACTAACTTACTTTATGTCACACAGGTGCAATTTACTTGTAAAGAGTAGGGTCTAGCTGTTGCACAGTAAGAGGGACATAGTGAAATTAGTAAACGTCTGATGAAAAAATGTTTTTCTCTTTCTCTTTTTACTTAGTGTTGTTATTGTACATATGTTATTGTATATATCTTCAACTCCCACCAAAAAGAGTAACAATTCTTCTCCTTGGGCTGGTTTTACTAGAAGCCAGAGAGAAAAGAAACTTGGGAGAAAATATTCCTGCAGAGAAATATTACTGTTACTATTTGGTAATTACAGTTTACACCCACAAGTAGTGTAGGGAAGAACTTTCTAATTCCCCAGTTTCTTTAAATTTTACTGATTAGTTTCTTCTATTAACTTATGGTCACCTATGTAGATTTTCTTTGTCACCTTAAAATATTCACACTTATACAGTATTTTTTATGTATGATGTCTGTTGTTGTTGTTAAGTGCTGTGGAGTCGATTTCAACCCATAGTGACCCTGTATAAGGTTTCCATGGAGCAGCTCGTGAGATTGAACCATCAACCTTGCAGTTCAAACGACTTTGCAGTCTGATGCATTAGCCCACAGCGCCACAGTTTTGTGCGTATCATAAGTATACGCTGTTGCAATCCCAAACCACTCCCTCATTTGTTGATTTTCTATGAGTGCTCTTCTATGTACGTTAAGTGGTGTTATGTTTGATGTTTCACCCCCATAAATAATACCCGGTTAACATACATAGCACTTGTAGAAAATCCACAAATAAGGGTGGTTTGGGTTTGCAACACTATATACTCATGAGACACACTGTACTTGTGTAAAATACTTTTATGTTACCTGGTGATTTAAAAAGAAGTTATTTCATGTACAATAAAGTTCTATGAATAGATTTTTCATGTTTTTGTAAGTTTTAAAGTTATGTAAATGCTATATAGTATGCAATCAATGAGTTATATTTCTAATTACTAAAATGATCTATTCAAATAAAAAAATTAAGTCACAAAAAAAAGGCAAAGCTAGTGACCAAACTGGTTACCAAAGGGTTCCAGAAAACCTAATTACTGCCTATCCCTATATTTAAACAAATTATTTACCTTTCAGGAACTACTATAGAAAGCACTTAAGTATATAGTGTATCATAAAGCAGTCACTCAATAAATGATCATGAAAAACAATTCCTACCTTTTTACAATTTATCCAGTGAAAACCAGCTACTGACAAAGAAGAATGTCCAAGATATCTACATTATCTGAATTTCTTACATAAAATTGAATTGGCTGAATCTTCTGGTTATATGGAGGTGGTGGTGGTGGTGGTAGTGTGCCCTGGAATCAATTCTGACGCATAGCGACCCTGTATAGGGTTTCCAAGGCTTTAAATCTTTATGGAAGCAGAAAGCCTCATCTTTCTCCCGTTAAACGGGTGGTAGTTTCAAACTGCTGACCTTGAGTTTAGCAGCCTGATTCGTAACCACTATGCTACCAAGAGCTCCTTCAGGTTATATGAGGGGGCTTCAAACAATTCATGGAGAAATAGAATCAAAGATAATGAAAATTTTCACAAACTTTCTGAAAGTTTTATAATCTCAATTCCAACATCACATGCTTCTAAAACGTTGGTTTCATCATTAAAGTTATAATAAACTAAATCAATTGCCATCGAGTCAATACCAACTCACAGTGATCCTGTATAGTATAGGGTTTCCAAAGCTATCAATCATTATGTGAGCAGGAAGCCTCGTCTTTCTCTTAAGGAGCAGCTGGGGAGTTTGAACTGCTTACCTTGCAGCTAGCAGTCCAATATTTACCCAACAGCACCAGCAGAAATACTAAAGTTGTAATAATGGTTATAAATATCATTTAAATGCCCTGAAGAATATACTACCTGAAACTTGTTTATAAGTTTAGTAATTCTTTTTGGCTGCTGCCAGAAAAAAAGGAAATAAGCTGATTTTAAACGTTACCTTTTCTCATCTAGAATTTTATGACTCTTGATAAGTATGCATTAATTCATCCCATACCCCCATATCCAGAATCATTTGTCACAAACAGAATACATTCTTCAAATATTAAAACTAAGACTCTCATGGATTTAGGATCTCAAATCAATGCATATAGTGAAACTGTCACATATTTTAAATTACCCCAGAAAGTACCTTTGTTAATTTCTTAGGAACAAGCTACATTTGGAAACTAAACTATGATACTAAGTAAAGTTTCAGGTTGAAATTAATGCTTCAGCACAGCACTATGTGTCATTTGCTTACTGATCCAGGGGCATGTAAAAACCTTTATATTGTAATCAAAGAATGAACTGAAATATTCTTAATAAGAGGAACACTTGGCAATTGGGAATTTAACAGCTAGTTATCTATGCTTATTCTGAGGCACTGGTAGATGGAATTTATGAGTATATATAACTGGAAGAAGTAAGAAGTAAGTTAAGTCTGTCAAAAAACAAGTAATTGTATGAAGTCACTACTTGTGTCCATGAACTTTTCACAAAGTATAGGTTTGGATCTGCAGCTGGGTTGTAAAATTATTGTAATGAATGTTTTGTTTTGTTTGTTTAGGAACAGAATTGAAAAGAAAACATCAGTTCATTCAAGACATATTAGAATTGTCTTTCTGAAATTTTATGTATATGTGTATTTAGTAAGTTGAGTTGTAAAACTAATTTCTTACTGGGAGGTAGTTTTTACATGGTTTGAAAACACAGCATTAATACTATATCCTTGTTGCTGTGGTTTTATGAGAGTGAGATGAAACAATACAAAAAACATAAACTGAATGATTACTTCAATGCCTTTTTACAAAACACTTGGAAATTCTATTGCTGTTTCCCTAGAAGCAGAAGTTTAGAGTGACTCAAGTTTAAGGTATGGAATACTGCCAATCTCATCTCTCTTTACTGGAATGCCTATGATCGCCTATCTAACTGTGTCAATTACAATAAACTCAACAAGTCTAGGCTAACTATGATGGTATAGACATTTGCACAGCTGCCTAGATTACTTCAATTCTCTTCCTAATCCATATATAGCCAGGATCACAAAAGTCAAGCACTTGTTTATAGCCAGATTTTTAAACATTGAACAGCGAATGAAAAAGAGTCATTGGTTATTTACAACAGGACTGACTTCTTTAACCAATTTGTTAAAGAATCTTAGCTCCCTGACCATCTACCAGAGGTCTTCAAGAAGTTCATGGGCAAATGGCATAAAAAGAGAATGAAATATTTCCAGGGCATTATGAACACTCTGAAATATCCTGATATGTGCAAACGATGGCAGAGTGTAGAAGATATGAGGAAATTAATTAGGGTTGATCAAAGTACAAAGGCCTTTAACATGATGGGTTCACAGGTTTCAATTTCTCAAGAATGACATGTGCAGATCAAATGTTTTCATTCAGTGATACCTTTTCTTTCTCCTTTTGCTCCTTAACCAACGGAGAACAGAAAACGGCAAAGACACCTTGTTTATGCAAAGGCATGTTCAAATTTGAAGCTATTTTCACAGGCTTTACTGACTCAGTCAGCAAAAACCTGCCAAAGGGGCAAAAGAATCAAGGAACACAAACAATGAGATAACGGTGCTCCGGGCTCATAAACTGCCTTTATTATTATTATTATTATTATTATCTGCATTGATACTGGTCTTCACAAAGTTACCCAAGTATATCTAGTAGTTCCCAAATGGTGTCTATCTAGAAAACAAGAGTGGTTCAAAGATCTTGGTTGCTGAGTGTCCAAACATTTAATCTCCCACACCCCGGTCTGAAGGGTGCAGGTGGAATTAAAGCAGAAGTGGCGAGGTGCTAAGTATGTAAAACTACAGGAAAATTCACTCTGAACATAGGAGTACAGGGAAGCCCACCCTTACAACCTGTTCACAGTGTAGGAGTGTAATGTTGACATAATCGGTTTAGACAATCTTTTTTCACTGAGAACATCTGAAAATGAGATTTCTCATTCAAGGGCTAAGGAGTTACTCTAATTAGTGAAGTTCCCAGCCAGAGACTCCCTACAAATTTCAAATCAGTGCTTCCAACTTTAAGTTTGACTTTGTAAGAACAAGGGCAAGTGTGCATTTGAAACTAACAAGCTCCTTCGTTGATGATTTGAGATTTTTTAACAGACGTGTTGGCACTTTCCTGTACCGTATTTTCAACCACTAGTCACCCCTGAGATCTTGGGCTAACTTCCGGGGAGGATGCGTATCCGCCGGCCAGGTCTGCAGGAGCGGGCGCCCGGGTCAGGGCTCAGCCGCGCCCCCCACGCACCGGGGGTGGGAACGGGCTGGCACCCCTCCGAAGACGGCGCCGGCCTAGAGAGAGGGAGGGGGGCGAGGACCCTCGATACCTGACACAGGGCCAGCTCCTCCTTTAGGCTGCTCAGCTCTTCCTCCAGCAGCTGCGTCCGGGTCGCCATCGCTTCCTCTACCGAGATGCCCTCGAGCCGCCCGGACGCCACGGGCGCGCTGAGGAGGGGAGCCTGAGCCGCCGCCGCGCCCCCTCGCCCTCGCCGGCCCCCCGACCCTTCTTCACCCCGCCAGGGCACACCGCTCTTGCCCGCGACGCCGTCCCGCGCAGCGCCTGCAAGACCTGAGGCCTCGCCGCGCACTGCGTGGACCTCGGCTCCCTGCCCAACGTGCAGGGACCAGGGGCCCGACTGTTGCGCCTGAGGCGGAGGGAGCGGCGAGGAGGACGAACGCGCCGCCATGACTACGGCTGCTAACGGGTCAAATTCCCTCTTGAAAACTCCACTTCCCCTTCCCCATCCTTACGAGCCCGAAGCGCACCGCGGCGCATGCGCGAGCCTTTTCCCGCCTTGGTGCGCGGGGTCTCGCGCTCGCGGGCCCTAGCCGCGGGCCCCGCGCGAGCTTTGGGCTGCGCACGCGTCATGACCCGAGGCGACTAGGCTGGTCAGCACAGCGAGTCACCCTAACATGCTCAGCCTGAGTTTTCTCCAGAAACCCTGGCTTTTGCCGCCTGCGTCAAATCTAACCCTCCACTTAGCACCTAACTCACATCCCCACCTCTTAAAGTCTTCCTTGACAAACCCCCAGTCCCAAATGATCCCTAACTGTGAATTCCTCCATTCACAACTCCTGCCAACGCTTTCGTACATTTCATTGACTGCCCTGTAAGTGTTAGTTACAGGGCTAACTCCTCCAGCAGCCTTGTAAACTCCTTGAGGATCTGGGAGTACTTTTCACAATTTCGTGTTTTCTTCACACTCCTTAAGGAAACTGCTTTAAAAATAGCTGACTGATGTCAAGGAGATGTGAAAAACTTGTGTTAAGCTTTGATTGACTCTCAAACTGGTTGCCCATTTGAATTATGATCCTTTGTACACCCTTTATCTTTTGTTTTGCAAGACTCTTGAGTCCTTTTGAGTTTTTATGTCAGCTGCTTTATTCACTGATTGGTTATCAGAGTGAGTCTGTCCATCATTTTACAACAGTTTAGGTCTTTGGACCAAATTGAAATCCATTATTTTAGTCTGAAATTAAAAGAAACAAGACTCGCTTACTTCACTCTCCTCCCTTTCCTTCCTGACCTGTCCTGTTTTTAAGCTTTATAAAGTCAATGTTGTTGTTATGTATCATCAAGCTGGTTATGATTCATAGGGACACTGTATAGGGTTAAGGAGAGCTGCTGGTGGATTTGAACTGCTAACCTTGTGTTAGCAGTCCAGTGTTTATCTGACAGCACCACAATAAATTGAATCAATAAAGTGAACAACCTACCCTTTTTTCATCTTTGAAAGATTTTTTTACTAGTGATGGGTTGACTAAAGCATCAGAGTGCCATCATAAGCAGAAAGGGGTCCCCAAATACTTACTTGGAGGATAGCTGAAGTGGAACAAAGCACATTTTGAAAGTAAGGAAATCACTATTTTAAAATCGTTTCACTGAATCAGAACCACAGTGCCAGAATCTTCTCTATATGACATTAAATGTGTCTCATTTAGAATCCTCCCTTCAAAGCCAAGACACATAAATGAGCTTCCTTGCACTGAAGCTGAATACCCCAACAGTGATGAAAAGATTATTTTAAGATAGAGTATATAAACGTGTGGAGTACTAAGTGCTAAGTAGTTTTTATACTCATTCAATTCTTGTTAAGTTTACTCAAATCTGTTCAGACTCATATGATCCTGCATAGGGTTTCTGAGAAGCAGATGTGAATAGCTAGCTAACTTTGTGGTTCGCAGTCTGTTGCTACTCTTACAGTTCCACATCACATCAGTATAGTGTGGACAAATCTGCAACTCAGGAGTTCTGCAAGTACGCCAACAAAATTGTTTTTTTCTTACAAATACTATAATTTTGTTTTGAGTGATTCTTGGTAACTATTCACCTGTTCTGAGGGTGCTCCAGGTCAAGATTATCGGTGTCCAAAGTTTACACCATCAAATCCATTTATCTGATGTGATTTTTCACAAAGTTCAAAAATAACTTTATAGAGCTATAACAACAATTTCATTTTCCATTTTTCATCCCCAAAGGTTACACAACAACTCATAGTCCAAAACCCTTTAAATATGAGTTTCCTCTTCTAATTATAGGTTTTTCAAAATTAACTCCATTGAACTTAACTCGCAGTATGTGTGTGTATTTAGGGAAAGAAGAACCTATATGCTTTACATTTCAGCACCTTTTACCAGTTCACAAAACTCGTCATAGTTTGGAACACCATCCCAGGTTCCCTAAGACTTTAGCTGATTCTACAGTCATGTTTGGTAAGATGGAGGGTCGGAGAAAAAGAGGAAGACCCCCAGCGAGATGGATTGGCAGCATCAGTGGGCTCAAGTGTGGCAACAATAGTGAGTTTGGCCCAGAATCGGACAGTGTTTTGTTCTGCTGAGCATCAGGTCGCTATGAGTCGGTACCAACTCAGTGGCACCTAACAACAACAACAACAACAACAGTATACCTGGTGTGGCGCTATGGGTTAATGCACCAGACTGCAAAGCTGTTTGAACTGCAAGGTCGGCAGTTCAAGCTCACCAGCTGCTCCTCAGAAACCCTATACAGGGTCGCTATGGGTCAGAACCGACTCAACGGCACTTAACAAGAACAACAACAAAGCTTTCAAACAAGCAAGATTGTATTATCTGCATATTGCAGGTCGTTAATGAGTCTTCCTCCAATCCTGATGCCACATTCTTCATATAATCCATCCTCTCCGATTATTGGCTCAGCATACAGATTGAGTAAGTGTGGTTAAAGGATACAACCCTGGCACACATCTTTCTTGATTCTAAACCATTCAATATCCCAGAATTGTAATGTTATTGTTAAGCACCATTAAGTCAGTTCTGACTCATATGGACCCTGTATAGGGTTTCTGAGTGGCTGGTTGTGTTTGAACCATTGACCTGTAGTTAAGTAGTCCAGCGCTTATCCTACAGTACTACACCAGGACTTGTAATTGTTGTTGTTGTTGTTAGGTGCCATTGAGTTGATGCTGACTCATAGCACCCTTGCATAGGGTTTCCAAGGTGCAGCTGGTTGGTTTGAACTACTGACCTTGTGGTTCGAAGTCCAGTGCTGATCCAACAGTACCACACAAGGAGTCCTTGTAATAGTGGCAGTTAATCCCAAACTTGCCTGATTTCCTTAGTTCCTGCCAGTAATTGATTGTTTTGATCCCATCTTTTGTATTAACAAGAGGGGAGACATTTCATGAAATAACCCAAGAGATGGCACCTATTGTGATTGGCAGAATATCACTTCTGCAGAATCTATGTAAGTAACTCACAACAGGAAACTGGCGAATGGGAGGAAGTTGAGGCAACTCACATTGAATACTTTGAGGAATGTTTGAAATAGAGGCTTATAGCAAAGGCAAGGGTACAAAGTAGGGAAACCACAAAGCTGTAGTTAAGTGCTCAGAGGCTATTCAAAAGAATGTCATCACCTTAGGCTTGTAGTGGTAAGGGGACTGAGCAGCTAATCCTTTAGCCAGAAGGCCTAAAGGACTGTGTGGAGAGCTGTCCCGTGAAAGGCACAAAGGGAGCCCTGGGACTAGCTACTCCAACCTCACTCCCTACCCAGCCACTTCCCCTAAGGCTCACCATTGTCTGAGTCCAATAGTTTGCTGGTGAACCCAGCAGAACACAGAGCAAAGTTTAAACTAGCCTGAAAACAATCTGGAGGAACAATCAGAAGTTATGGTAAACAGCCATTGTATTCTAATGAGCAACAAATGGGAAACTGCGCAACAGCATTCTGTATGAGATCCAATGAGTCTAAAGGAACTTGCAGATAGTGGGTTTGATTTGTTTTGATTTTTTTTGTCTAGCCAATTAAGGTAATACGGTGGGTAGGGGGCAGCTTATTGGATCAGTACTTTAATTTACAACAATCCCATAATGAAGAAAAAGGTGGCTTCCATGTTATGAAGACCAAGGAATTGAAACCATCTGGTATGGCACTGTGGGTTAATGCGCCAGACTGCAAAGCCATTTGAACTGCAAGGTTGGCAATTCAAGCTCGCCAGCTGCTCCTTGGAAACCTTATACAGGGTCGCTATGGGTCGGAACCAACTCAATGGCACTTAACAACAAGAAGAAGGCAGGAATTAAGAGTTCAGGGTTTCTGAACAGAAACTCCACTGCATGCACTAAAGAGAATGTGTCTACTTTCTTTGTCACCTTGACATTCTGCATTAAAACTTAGTTTCCTACCCTAACCAGATAAGCAGTGACACCAGAGACAGAGGCAGAGATGATGACATGGAGAGAGGGAGCAGCTGAGGACTCCAGACTCATGGAAAGAGAAAGGCTGTGTGCTGGCAGCCAGGAGGCACGCTTGCAGAATGTGCCCTTTGATTGTTTAAATTGTTATATACTCCTGAGTGTTTTTGTGTACATTACAAAAAAAAACAGAGGGAATAGAAGCAAATACTGTTGAATGATGATGCATGGAGGGGATTGTAATCATTGCAGTTAAATGAAATAGAATAGGATGAATGTAAAACCAATGCCCTCCCATGTAAACTACCACTCAAGTCACAATAAAAACATAAAAACAAATTAATAGCAAAAACCCCACAAAACTTAGTTTCCTAAAAAGTCCTTTCTAGATCACCCTACTTAATTCTGACCAGTATGCCGCTACAAGATAAAGTGCAGGACCATGAGGTTAGTTTGCACCACAAGGTAAGTTTGAGCCACAAGGTCAGTGGTTCAAACTCACCAGTTGCTCCTCAGAAACCTTACCTTACCCCGTGGTCACTATGAGTCGGAACCGAATCGACAACACTTAATAACAACAACATATTAAATCTCAAGGTAGTATATAGCCAATTTGTATTTTGCATCTATATTCCATTCTGCACCTTTTATAACTTTATTATGCTTTCACATTTCATACACATATGGTTTGCATCTCTCAATAGATTGTAAGGTATTAGTGGTGGTGATGGAAGCGGTATGTCATCGAACTGGAATAGTGACCCTTGACAGTAACTGGTTTCCTAGGAGCTAGCTGAGAGGCCGTCATCAGGTCGTACTTGTGCTCAGCATCATGCTAGGTGTCTTGATGGGCACAGAGAAAGCTAAGCACTGAACTGCAAGTTACCGAAGCTGTAAATCTCTATGGAAGTAGAAATCTTATCTTTCTCCCTCAAAGCCACTGGTGGATTCAAACTGCTGACCTTGTGGTTAGTAGCCCAACATGTTGTAACCCATACGCTACCAGGGATCCTTAAGATGCTAGTTGGTTTTGTT